CTACAACACAGCTCACCAAGCTTTAAACATTCAATGGCTTTTCTAGCCCAATGTTCCAAAGTCCTCCCACAATACTTCCAGAAATAACACAGTCAGGTCTGTCACAGTAATACCCTACTATCCTGGTACCAACTTGTCTTAGTTAGAGATCCTATTGCTATGATGAAGCATCATGACTAAAGAAACCTGGGGAGAGAAGAGTTTATTCAGCTTATTCTTCAAAATCACAGTTCATTATCAAAGGAAGTCAGGACAGAAACTCAAGCAGGGAAGTAACCTGGAGGCAGGAGCTGAGGACAAAGCCATGGAGGGGTCCTGCTTCCTGGCTTACCCCTCATGATTTACTCAGCTAGCTTATAGAACTCAGGACCAGCAGCCCAAGGATGGGAACTACCCACAATAGGCTGAGCCCTCTCCCATAAATCACTAATTAAGAAAATGCCCTACAGGTTTGCCTACAGCTGGATCTTATGAAGGCATTTTCTCAATTGAGACTCCTTCTCTCTGATGACTCTAGCTTGTGTCTAGGTGACATAAAACTAGCCAGTACAGGAGCATTGGCTTTTGGGGGCTGGGGGATATAGCTCAGTGAAAAGACGTTTTACCTAGTATGCACAAGACCCTAGGTCTCATCTCCAGTGCCATAAAATGAAAGAAAAGAAAGGAAGAAGGGTGTGGTAGCAGGGGATGTTAATTGTAGGAATAGACAAAGTAAGGATGATCATAAATTCCAGGCCAGCCCATGATACATGGTTAGCTCAAGGATAACATAAGCAAAATAGTGAGACCCTGATAAAAGGATGGAAGAAAGGACTGACCTTCTGTACCTAGAGCTGAGTCTTTGTCCTTGGAACCCTCATCTATTGCTCTGGTTCTGTCCCTGGAATACAGAGAACAGGCCAAAATCCCCTGTTCAATGCAGCATAAACACACATGGGTGGGTTCAAATCCCAACTCCAATCCTCTTGAGTTATGTATGACCTGCACAAGTCATGTGACTCTTCAGCGCCATTGATAGGAGCTGATATCACCCGCCTTATGGAATTGTGGTGGGCTCAGGGTTTATTTTATTTGTGGCTGGTTGTGTTTATACACTTCTTCTTCCTCTTCCTCCTCTTCTTCTGAGCTTCAGTTCAAACTGAGGGCCTCAGGCACGATAAGTATGCTGGAAATACTAGAAGCTGAACACCAGGATTCCAGGAAGATAAACTCATGATGACTTAGCCCAAATCCAGGAAAGAGAATGTGTTCCAGAGCATTCCCTGTCACTGTGTTGGCCACCCAGTGAGGCTGCAGCAGAGACTCTCTAAGGCCAGGTGACTGTAAATTCAAACCAAGTATTCCATACAGGGGAAGAATGACGGGCAGCAGAGGGCAGTATAATATATATTGAACTCAGCCTTTAAACATAGAATGAAAACTCACCTCTGTCCTGGAAGGTGACATATTTCTGTTAAGCAGGTCAGGACCACATCACCACCTTAAACACATGACTTATACAGGAACTCAGAGAAGCGTTTTCCTTACCAGCTGCTGCTCAGTATCATCTCCCACATCGGGCACGTTCCATGCCAGAGAAGCATCCGAAAGCCCTCCCTTTCCCACCTCTGTCTCAAGCACACAAGTGACCGACCCCCCCACCATCATTCAACCCCCTCCCCTCCAGAGAAGAGTCAAAGACATTCAAGAATTAGGCACTCCCAGAGGCCAGTGTTACTGCAGGATCGGGGCACAATGGGATAGACCAGAGACTGCTGGGGTAATTCTGTGCCCTCTGCATTGAGTTGGACCCTTCCTGTGGGTGGATGTGACTGAGTTATTAGGTGTCAACCACTTGGTGCATAATGAATGCAAATGTAAAGAACCACAACCACCAAATGCTGGCTAATGCCCAACTAGGGCTGCCAGACAGTGGGACTGCATTGAGATTTCTGTAATCAAGGCCATGAAGTCAGATATGCCAAACGTGATAGTTCACCCCTGTAATTTTTCAGCTGAGGTGGCTGAGGCCTAGGATCATGAGTTGGTAACCAGGCCACCTAGGTACAGCCATGCTCCCCACCACGCCAGGAAGAGATACTGTGACAACTGCAACTTATAAAAGAATGCATTTAACTGGGCTTGCTTACAGTTTCAGAGGGTGGGTTCAAGACCACCTGCATGACGGCCGCAGGGAGGCCCAAGACTGTAGCAGTAGCTGAGAGCTCACATCTGACACACAACAGCAGAGGAGCGCCAACTAGAAAGGTGTGGGCTTCCTGAAAGCCCACTCCTGTTGTTTTCATTAAATTCAGTAGCTGCCCCTTAAGCAACTGCTGTCCTAATGCAGTTGCAACTCTGCAGCTACCGGTAGAGGTTTGGCTGCAGTGGCCATAGCCAGGCAGGGATTCTGTTTCCTCAGACACTGGCTCTATCACAGCTGCTAAAGGGAACTTTACCTAGATCTCTACCCCCATAGAACTTAGGAGTCAAAGGTTGAGGTGAAATTCTGCTCACTCAGAGAGGCTGAACAGCAAATAGCTAATGTCTCCTAGCTTGCAGTTCCCCTCAAACAGCCAGTCCTGCTCCAACCCCACTTAAGAACCCTAGCTACACATGGTTCCTCCCAACCACTTCCTGTCATCTAGTTGCTGACTCAAACTCCAGAGCCCAGGTGAATTTTACTTGAGCAAACAAAAATGTAACGTGTCTTTGCATCATGAGCAAATGTAACACATCTTAAATTAATATTCCACAACAGTCTCAGTGCTATACCTTCTCCAATAAGGCCACACCTCCTAATCCTAAGCAATCCACCAACTGAGAACAGAACTTTCAAGTATGTGAGTCTGGGGGGGTCATTCTCATTCAGACCACATAGGCAAAATGAAGGATAATTTGTGTCATCAGCCTAGGACTTCCACATATAGGCACACAAACATGCACGTGGAAAACACACATGTAAAGTGTGCATACACCCACACATACCAACATGGAGAAAAGAAAATAATTAAACAAAATAATCAACTCCAAGGATGTTTGAAGGTGACCTTTGAGTTTTAATATCATCTGATTATTTGACAAGTGAATAAACAAAGGTTTAGGACTACAGAGAAGTCTGGGAATGTAGCTGAGAGGTAAAGTGTTTACAAATGTGGTTCAGAGTCTGGGATAGACAGAAGGATGGAAGGAATGAGGGAGGTAAGAGGGAAGGAGGGCATGCCCCAAGGGCAAATGAGGGGCAAATTCTATCAGATACCTCACTTCTTTCCACTCTTTGTGGTGTTTACACACACACACACACACACACACACCCATGCTGGGAATTAAACCTAGGGTCTTGCACATTCTAAGCAAGCACTCTACCACTAAGCTACATTCCTAGCTTATTTATTTATTTTTGAGACAGTCTAGGTATGTAGCCCAGTCTAGCCTGGCTTTTACAATCTTGCCTGGGCTTCTGAAGTGCTAGGATTAGAAGCCTGGACCACACCAACCAAACTTGACTTTGTTTTTCATTGTTGTTTGTTGAGACAGAATCTCATTAAGCAACCAAGGCTAGACTGGAACTCACTAAATAAATCAGGTTGGCCTTGAACTCACAGATATCTACTTGCCTGTGCCTTCTGAGTGCTGGGATTAAAGGCATTGCCTACTACATCCAGCCTACTTTCATTTTCTAAATCAGAGTCCTAATGGAAAGTGGGAACGGGTAGGAGTAATAGTGCTGGGGTTGGGGGGGGAGGGGGTTGTTATCTTCATGAATTTTACCAGATTTAGCAAGTGGTGACTGCCAACTTCATCCTGGCCACACTAACTGGAGATAGTCCAACAGGGGCAAAGGCTGCTCTGAGCTCAGTCTGGGAAGGGAGGGAACACAGGAGGAGCACAGAAATCAACAGGCTCAAGTTCAAACAGTACAGCCATGGAAAGTGCCCGGAAGGGAAAGGACAAGGTGTTTACTGCACATTCCGTGGGCAGCCCTGGGCATCGGTTCTGGAAGGCATCCAGGAGAAAGTGATGCCTGTGCATTTCCCCAGTTTACAGTAAGAGCTGCAAGGACAACCTGTCCTGTGGCATCCCACTCACTCACTGCCTCGCTGAGTATCTACCCCAGCCTGCCAGGAAGCTTCCAGAAACTGTTTCCTGGCTCCTCAGATAACACAGACATTCCTACTATGACTTCCAAGTTATGATTTCAGCAGACTTGAGTAAGCGGGGGAACCACTATGTGCCTCCAGGAAGAGAAATCTGGTTGCCATCTCCACTCTTCCCCTCAGCATCCACCCAGAACAGGACCATCCTGCTCATTCTGCTAGGCAAACACCTCGTTGCCCTCAGGCAGAAGGTCCTGATGTATATCCTTCCAGACTGGACTGCTCCCCTGCTCTTGAATTCCACCTCCAGTAGAGACCTTCAACCCTTCCCCTCCCTCTTCACTCTAGCTGCCCCCAAGAATAAGTGTCCTTGGCACGAGGTTTGTGCCTTCCCAGTCTCAAGTCTCTGGCTACGTGTTGGCGCCTCAGCGGATTCTAATCGGACACTCATGTTAGTCAAGTGACTATGTGACAGCGCCTCCGTTTCCACATTTCTACTTTGAGAATAAGGAACCGTGTCCCCTGCGTTGTAAAGGACAAAAGACAGGTCTAACATAATGCATCGCAGCACGGGAAACGCAGTGGGAACATCACCAACAGCGACTAAGTCTGGGCTAGAACAGGGTTTTGTAATCTGGTCACACTTCCAACTTAATTTTCCTGTAAGCAGGAAAATTCTCCATACCCCGCTTTCATCCAGGTGGGCACACCCGACAAGCGCGGGCTTTGTTGCCTGCGTTGGGGGAACTGGGTATTCCCTCTGCACCCGGTTCCCTCTGCACCCGGCCCCTCGCGCCCCAGGGCAAAGCATCGGTGGGCAAGCTTCCGGAAACTGTCCCGGTCCGAGCGCAGATGCTTTGCGCTCAGTCCGTGCGCCGTGCGGAGAGGGGCGTGACTCAGCGCGGGGGCGTGTGCAGGCGGTTATTCCACGTGCAGGAAGAGGGACGCTTGCAATCTGCAGAACGTGCGCAGTCTGCGGGGGCGTGTGCAGGTGGTGGGCCACCTGGGCGGACCTTTTGCGCTCGCCCCAACTCCTTCCCTCTATAAAGACAGCGTTCCACGCGCTTCTTTTCATCACGCCTTCTCCTAGCACGTAAGTTTTGGAGCTTCTTCTGTCTCAGCCGGTCTTCAACCGCCGCCTTCTCTCGACATGGACCCCAACTGCTCCTGTGCCACAGGTAAGGGGGATGACTGACTGGCTTCCACAGCCCAAGTTTCTCGGACAGCTAGGCAGGGAGTTTGGGGTCCCTTCTAGTCACTTTCAGGGTACTACCCGCTACCCTTTCCCAACAAATTCAGGAGACCCCTGATTAACAAGTCTTTGAGATAAGGGCTCGCCTAAACTGGGTCGGGGATTTGCACCTTAGTTCCTAGGGGAACTCCTGAGTCCAGGTGCATCAGGTCTCGCTAACTGCCATGTTTCTGCAGATGGATCCTGCTCCTGCTCTGGGTCTTGCAAATGCAAAGAGTGCAAATGCACTACCTGCAAGAAAAGTAAGTTGAATCCTCTCTATCCGTTTACCCTTCGCTGAACATCAGGCCCTAATCCGCCCTACCATCCCGGGAGCATCCAGGTATGGTGCCTCTTACTCAAGTTTTCCTGCTCATGGTCAACTCTTCTCCCCCAGGCTGCTGCTCTTGCTGCCCAGTGGGCTGTGTGAAGTGCTCCCAGGGCTGCATCTGCAAAGAGGCTTCAGAGAAGTGCAGCTGCTGTGCCTGAATTGTCATTCCCCTCAGCTGCCTGTAAATAGAGCAATGTGTAGAAACAGTATTTTTTTTTACAACCCCGGCCTATTCTCCACACCTCTTTCTATAAAGCATGTAACTGATAATAAAAGCATTGACTTGGTTAACTCAGCTTGTCTTCGTGTGCATTGGGAATAAGGGACTTGGCAGAGGTTGGCAGAGGTTCTGGGCCTCAGATATCAGCTTGTGACTTGGCTGCTCAGGTTACCTCTCCGGTTTTTATCCTAGAAGTGGTGGGTGAGAGGATGCACTAGTCACACAAATGCACCAAGCCCTGCTGTGCACGTGTATATTGGGGGGTTAAACCTAGGGCTTCTGGTGCTCTAATGAGCCACACCCTTGTCCTAGATACAAGATAATTATTCTGGTTTCTCTCCCTGAATTCAGTTGCATATTAGGCTTAACAATGACTTAAGTATGAAATGCCAGTACCTAAACTTCGGTAAATAAAACAAAGAATCGGAGGGGCCAGCTAGAGGTGCACGCCATTAATTCCAGTAGAGACAGGTGAATCCTGAGTTGGGAGGCTAGCCTGCTCTACAGAACAAGTTCTGTTGTGGCCAGGGTTACACAGAGAAACCCTGTCTCAAAAATAATTGAGTCAGGTGTGAGTCCTGTTTGTAATCCCAGCACTTAGGAGGCTGAGTGAGGCAATTGAATGAATCTCTTGAGTTTGCAGGCCAGACTGGTCTCTCTACTGAGTTCCTTCCAGGACAGCCAGGGCTACACAGAGAAACCCTGTCTCAATTTGAAGTCAAATTTTGGTCTCAAAATTTGGTACCTTTGAATTTTGAGACAAGATCTTCCTGTGTAGCCAAAGTATACTTGAACTTGCAGTCTTCCAGCCTAGACTCCTAAGTGCTGGCAATACAGGCTCAAAGTCTGTTTTTAAAAGTTAAGTAACATGAACAAAGTGAAAAAAAAAATACATATCCCAAGAGTGTGCCTTGCAGACTGAAAACTAAATGGTATAACTAGTGAACCTGGACCTCCCATGAGGAACTGCCCATCTCTAGTGTACAGGGACACTGACCGGAACGTTATCCCTCTTGGGCCCCTAAGTTCCCAGGAGCACAGTAACAAGAGTTGGGTGTCAAACCTTTGGAAGTCTCTCTCTCAGGGTCAGGAAGAAACACCTCCCTCCCCCCCCACCCCTTTCTATAGTTCCAACCCCTGACCACTTAGAAATGGAAAGCGGAAACTTGGAAGAAATTGCCCAGCATCTTCCCAGGAGCAGGCATCTAGGTGGAGTTTGCAATTTGGAGACTGGGGTGGTACTCTTCAGGAAGCTGTAAGGACCTGAATGACAATTAAAACCAACGGCTAATGCCCCTGGTTATTTGTTGAGCTAATGAAAATTGGTGTTCAAAGGGAAAGATGAGTGTCTTGGCCAGAAGTCAGGACCAAGCTTGCCCTTGTGTTTTCTGTGTGAAGATTAAGTTTATGAGGTGGCCTGTATTTCTGGGTGCCAAGAATCCTAGTTTTCAGCCTACTTCCCCTGTTTACTGGTCATGTAACCTGGACAAGTCACTGAACATCTGAGGGAACCTATGGTTATGTCCCCAGACTGAACCCTTCAAATGCTGAACCTGTTAACCTGTCCCTCAGTTACAGCCCAGATGCTGCCAACCACATGCTCCCAGCTGCCAATCATCACATTGTCACACATCCCCAGTCACAGAGGGAGGCTCCAGACCAGATTCTGCTGGTCCAGACACTTTGACACCCAAAATGGCTTCAGGCTCATTCGGAGCTTATTATAATCAGAAAAAGGATTTGGACAAGTGCCAAGGCAGACTGAACTATACCCACTCTAGGGAAGAAAGATACCTCCACCCCTGGTAACTGCTCCTTCCCTTTTAATGCTCTAATGTCAAGTGCCTTACGACACATAATAATCAACACACATATATACATACATATGCCCACATCTAGGAAAACCTCAGAACCCTTAACTCTGTCATCGACACCAAAGGGGACTTGAGAGCGAGAGCTGCCCTGCTCCACTCACTGCCTGCCCCTTAAACTTTGACTATTTGCAAACTATAGTGAGTGGAAAAGAAACCATAGCTTTCACAGAAAGGAGAAAATATTCCTGACTAGGGATTAATGAAAGAGGAGCTGGCTCCTGGCTGAGGCTTCATAAACAGAGAAGTAGGGAGCATTCTATCCACATGGACTTTCTGGAGAGAGAATCCCATGTTGGCAAGCTCCAGAGTGGGCCAAGAGCCGTGTGGGAGGACATTGTGGAATGGAGGCTGGAGAGGGAGCCTTGCTGATTGGGGACCAGGGAAATGTAGATGATGAATACAAAGCCCCCATGACCAGGATGCTGTTGCAGCCTCCTGACAAACACCAAAGCCTTGCTAACTTCTCATATCCTTTAATCTTCATTTGGCCTAGTGATAGAGTAAACTGAGTGTTCTTAAACTGGGTGGGATTGTGGTGTATTGTATATTCAGAGTAGTTAAAAATGTTCTTGTCTCTTTATTTGAACAGATCACCTAAACTGATTCTTCCTGGGGTGGAAGATCCCCAATTTCAGAACTGTGATCCTGCAGCAAGGGAGGCAGACCTGTGGGCATCCACAGAATTTCCTGCATAAGAGGACATATAATTTGTTTATACATTTCAGCTCAAAAATGGAGGGAAAGGCTTGTTCTGCTAAATAGAGTTCCATCTATTTCCACATCCTGTCCACCTATCCTGTATTCTGTCCACTGTCCAAGTAAGATAAGCACCCTGAGCCCTGCACCCAGGTGATGGATAAGCAGTCCAAGGGTAGCTTCACTTGCCTGCAAAGTGAGCCTGTCTCAAACGAACAAATAAACAAACAGAAAATAGCACTTTAAGAAAATGATACTTCCACAGAGACAGCTGATATGCACAAGTGGGAACTCATGGACCCCAGACTGATAGCTAGGAAACCAGCATAGGACAGACCCAGACCCTCTGAAAGTGAGTCTCAGTTAAAAGTCCTGGGCAGTTTATGGGGCCTCTGACAGTGGAACCAGGACATATCCCTGGTGTGTCAAAGGACTTCGGGAGCACATTCCCCATGGAGGGATACTCCCTTAGCCTAGAGACAGGAGGGAGGGCCTAGGCCCTGCCCCAAATGACTTGACAGATTTTGATGATTCCTCCTGGAAGGCCTGACCCTCCCTGGGAAGTGGGTGGGGAATAGGATGGGAGAGGATGGGGGAGGCATGGGAGGATGGGAGAGGGAACTGGGATGGATATTTAAAATAAGAAATAATAATAATAATGAAGAAAGTTAAAAAAAGAAAATGATATGTTTTTCTGAACCTAATATGAAGGATTCATGGCTCAACCAATGAACATTGTCTGGAATGGTGAGTTTCATTGTGGGAGAGGCTCAGTCATAGTCAATCCATTGGGTATTTATTACATTAGTGGCTTTGGGCAGGTGGGCTGCAACAGAGCGGGGAGATCTCTTTTTGCCATGTACAGCATTTTAGCTTCAGAGTTGCTGGGGGCTGGAGGTCATCTAAGCTTAATCCTACATGCCAACAGTTTCATCTAACAGTCATGAGGATATCAAGTCAGATACCAGGGTTAAGATAAGGCCTGTAATTCCAGCACACGGGATCTGAGACAACCAGATCACAGGACCTTGTTTCCAAATAAACAAAAACAACATTAAAGAGCCTAAGATAGCCCAAGATAATTTGGGCTCTTCACACACAACATTCCAAACTCCTCCACAATCAAGATGTTCTAGCTAGCTGAGATCAAGAAGTCTTTAGAAACTGTAACAAGTGTCCACTTCCTCAGAGAATAGCTCATACCATTATTTTATTTGCCCGGACAAAGGAGAAGCAGGGAGCAGTGCCTCTTTGAGATCAAGGACCCAAGACAAATACTAGCATGTGTGAAGAGAAGTGCAGTACAGTAAATGTGCCCTGAGTGGGACTGGCCTCGCCTTGACACTCTACCAATTGTGGCATTTCTTGACTCTATCTTCTGCTCACAGCTGGCTTTCTCCTCCTCACAGGTGGGTCCTGTTCCTGCATGGATGCTCCTTTCTTCCTTCAGACAGACAGACAGACAGATGATTGATAGACAGATAGATGATTGATAGATGATAGACAGATAGATGATAGATAGATAGATACATGATAGATATCCTAATAAAGACTCCTGTGGGCCAAGTGGGGTCAGGTGTGTTTTCTTTTTTGAGACAGGGTTTCATGTAGCCCAGGCTGGTCTCAATTTTGTTATGAACCTTAAACTTTCGATCCTCCTGACTCCATCTCCTCAGTGTTGGGATTACAGACATGTGCCACAAAACCTAGTTTATGCCATGTTGAGGACTGAACCCAGGAATTTGTGCATGCTAGGTGAGTACTCCACTAGTGAGCTACACTCCCAGAACCCCTTTCCTTTTTTTTAAATGGTTCCAAGGACAAACCACAGAGCCTCACACATGCTAGGTAAGCTCCCTAGCTTGGAATTTGTCCTTAGTCCAGGCTAAAATTCACTGTTCTTTCCAAGTCCAAGTCCACTGACTGGCCATATGGCCTGGACAAGCACCCAACCTCTTTGAACCCCCTCTCCTTGTGTGTAAACAATTTACACCTCTAAATAGGTATTAAGTGCAAAATTTGCTTTACTCCTGGTTCTGGCATAATAGCCATATTTCAGTCACATGTGCCTGCAATTCGAACACTCAAGAAGCTGAGGCAGGAGAATTACAAGTTTAGCCTTGGTGATGTAGCAAGACTCCATCACAAAGCAAACAACAGCAAAGCCTTGCCAATCTGTTCAAGGCTTTGTGGATATCCTCTAACACAAAGCCTTGACTCACTGTTTAGGAGAAATGAACAACTTTCCATTTTTGATACAGTTAAGCACCCTGCCCAAGGTCAAATGGCTCAGAAGTCACGGTGTACAGGAACTCAAGCCGTAGCTGTCCTCTCATCCTCTAACTGGCAGAGCATGACGTCACTCCACTCTAGGTCCTGTGGCCATGTGGACAGGCTTTCAGAAACAAAACAATTTTGCTTTTTGCTAGATAAGCAAATGGTGTGAAGGGAGCTGGCTAACAGCCTAGTGTACCTCCCACCACTGCCTTTATGCCAGGGTTAGAAAAAAAATAAACAAACACATAAAAAATGCTTTATATGCACAATGACACAGGTAACACAGATAACAGGTGAGGACATGATGCATCAGTCAGTGTCCTGGGCTATGTGTTGAGACCCTGCTTACAAGTGTCCCATAATATTAGCTATTACCTTTTCATAATTACACGAAGCAGATGGGATATTTATTTATGCATTTGCAAATGAAAGAAGCCAGATCTGGTATGCTTAGCTGTGTATCTGTGTCATGCTCATCTGCCACACAGAAGACCATGTGACATATGCTCCAAAGAGTCATTCACTCCTGCCAAAAAGTTCTGTGGCCCTACCATAAGCAAACTTCACGACACATACAAAACCATGCCTGCTGCTTCTGTAGTCACAGTACTGTGTGGTACAATGCAACAATTCAGATTTTCCAAGATATATTTAAGTGCATTTACTAGTTATGATTACTTATATTTAAGTAAACTCTTTATTAAACACATGTATCGGTCTTATTCCAGATACAGAAGAGAGCTAGAAAAATGGCTGTATGTAAAGATACACCCCCACAGATATATATATACATATATATGTATATGTATATATATATTTCACTCATAAATTGTCTTTGTCAGCTAGCCATGATGATGATATATGCCTGTAATCTTAGCCCTTGGGAGGCAGGAGGGACTGTAGTTCAAAGCCAGTTTGGATTATATACAAAATCATATCTGAAAACAACCACAAAAATACTGCTTTTGTCTCTGGCAGTAGCAGAGCTGGGGGTGCACACCTATATGAGTAGATTTCAGCTGTAGAGAAATGTTAAGGCCATTCCAGACACAAGGGAGTCTCTCAAGAACTCTCGTTAAAGGGAAGCTCCATTAAGAGCAAAGGCAGGCAGGCTGCAGGATTCCAAGTCCTGCACAGCTCCCCAGGTCTGAACTTAAACAGGGCCTGACAGCAGAATGCAAAAAGAAGTCGGGAACATTGAAAAATACTTCCAATGCTTTTTATCTGATGCAGTCCCTGGACACCACCTAAAATGATCCCACTGGAGGGAAGACATCTCCAGTTTTTAAAACCACTATCCTGGACGGGTAAGGTGTGCGACCCCCAGCCCTGTACAACGTGCTACACTTCTCCGGAGTGGGGAATGAATGTTTTAAGATGAGACATATTGGTCTTCCCTGATCCTTATTTTTTTTTTTCACGTAGGCCCTGTTGCTGTGTCCAAGAGGGAGAGTCCCAAGGACTGTGATGGGACAGAGACAATGAGGACTGGGAAATTATCTAATCAGGGTTAGTCTTTTTACAAAACTGTCTCTGCTAATTTCGATCCAGAGAACTCCGGGAAGGAGTAATGGAGAACACAGTGTTTTGGATGGGTTTAGGAAGACAGTTGGGGGTCGGGGGGTCGGGTTGAGGTCTTGTAATGCACAGGACCAGTGATGGGCTATAATCTCGGGGGAAAGCACTACAGGGACACAATGTACCACGCGTCACACAAGTCGTCCTTCCCGGGCTAGCGGCGCCAAAGGGGCGGTCCTGTTGTGCACACCATCACCCTAGGGAGCTCTGCACCCCGCCCGAAGGGTGCACTCGGCTCTGCCAAGGACACCGGGTGCGCGCGTGACTCAACGAAGGCAAGAGCAACGGATTGCTGGGTGCAAACTCTGCGCCCGGACCGGTCCCACGACTATAAAGAAAGCAGGCTTCCCTCTAGGCGTCATCACAACTTCCAGCAGCCTGACTGCCTCCTCGTCACTTGCTCTGTAGCTCCAGCTTCACCAGATCTGGAAATGGACCCCAACTGCTCCTGCTCCACCGGTAAGAGGCACTCTTTTCTTGGTCTTTGGAATACCCAGTTAGGATCGCAGAGCGGATTCAGGCAGTTGTAGAGGATGGGGTGTAATGGCAGCGGGAATAGCAACTTTAGTTGGGGATTCATTCTGGTTCTTTTTAGCGCCCTCTTTCACAAGCGCCTTCGTCTATCCTTGGAGTATTAATATTGTCCAAATGGATCCTTTGTCGGGGTTGGGGGTGCAGCATTTGGGTGCACAAGCGTCCGGATCCCGATCACCTAGGTGGTGAGGAATCTGGGTCGAGCCCCAGGCATTATCAAACTTTTATGAATTGCCTAGACTAGGAGAGAAGTGAGGGACATTTGTGTTCTACCCTACCCGGTGAGAAGTGGGGCTAGGCTTCCTGGAGTCCTGAGTAGGATTTAGTGAACTGAGCTGGGCACACGTGCGGGCCACAGCTGTGATTCTGCATTTCTCTCTACTCACTGCTTTCTTCTTCCTCCTCCTCCACAGGCAGCTCCTGCACCTGCTCCAGCTCCTGCAGCTGCAAAGACTGCAAGTGCACCACCTGCAAGAAGAGTGAGTGTGGAGGGAACCCGGGGTGGTGACTAAGGTTTGGCAGGAACACCTGCAGAGCTGGCTCTGACAAATGTTCCCAAGCTTTATGCACTATAGCTCCCAGGGCCCTCCTAGTGTGTCAGGCCAGAGCTGTTCCAGGACACCCCCCCCCCCCTTCTTGTTGGGGCAAGAAACAGGTCTTCATTCAGGTCTGTGTGACATGAGGTCCTAGGACGCCAGCTCTGACCTCTTCCTCTCCCTTGTTTCTAGGCTGCTGCTCCTGCTGCCCAGTGGGCTGCTCCAAGTGTGCCCAGGGCTGTGTCTGCAAAGGGGCGTTGGACAAGTGCAAGTGCTGTGCCTAATGAGAGGACAATGCTGCTCCCATGTGTAAATAGTGCAGACCAACTCGAAGTTTTTATACAGCTCTACCCTGTTTACTAAGCCTCCTTTTCTACGGAATATGTGAATAAAAACTCAATGTGATTCTAACTCTGGTTTTCTTTGTGTGACTTAGAAATAAGGAACTGGGGTGACAGATTGACTTGATGAGATTTCAGGGATCTGGTTCTGGACTCACTGGTCCCTTTACCTCTTCACCCCTTGCCCCAGAGGAGGGGGATGTGTTTTAGGGAAAATTATGGCATGAGCTTCCTCTTTAATGGAAGACAGCAGTTGTGTGCTGGGTCAGATCTTTGTGTGTGTGTGTGTGTGTGTGTGTGTGTGTGTGTGTGTGTGTGTGTAGTGTTCCATCCTCATAGTTCAGAAGTGTCTCAATCTTTTATTTACATTCCCTTTCTATTCCGATTTCAGTGCCTCACATTGGGTATATGAGAGTAACATATGGTGTCTGGCAAGCTAATCCGGGGCTCTAACACTAAGCGTTTGGGGGGAGGTGTGGAGAGATGTGTTAGAGGATCTTTGGCTGTTTTGACACCAGGTTTCATAGGTAGGCCTTGAGCTCACTCTGTAGCCCAGTCTGGCCTTGAATTTTGGTTTTCCCTCCCTCAGCTTCCCAAGTACCTGGAATCACAGGGCTGACTGTGCCACCAGGCCATTTAAAAGTGATGTAGAGTCAGCTGTGGCTTGTGCCTACAATCCCGGCTACATGTGACTTTATTTCAAAATAAAAGTGGTCACAAAGTAGGACACCCAACTCCTAGATGTTTGATTCTCAGAGATTCTCAATAGTCCGTTTTTTCTGTGTGTGTGTGTGTGTGTGTGTGTGTGTGTGTGTATGTGCAGAGCATGATAAGTGCTCACATGTGCATGTGAATGTGGAAGCCTGAGATTGACATTGGGAATCTTCCTCTTTCACTTTCCACCTTTTTTTCCCCTCTTGAGACAAGGTTTCTCTGTGGAGCTTTGGAGTCTGTCCTAGAACTCAGTAGTCAGTAGACCATGCTGAACTCTAACTCACAGAGATCCACCTGCCTTATCCCCCCAAAGTGCTGGGATTAAAGTGCCACCACCCCCGGCCGGTGGCCGGGCCTCCAACCTTATTTTTGAGATGAGATCTTTTGGCGAATTTAGACATTGCAAACCCTGGGGCCCCACCTCTCCACCCACCCTCAGCTCAACACTGGGGGTAACAAACTTGTACCACCACTCTTGGCTTTTTCTGTAGGTGCTAGAGATTTGAACTCAGCTCCTCAAGCTTGAGCAGCAAGTGCTTTACTTATTGAGCAATATGCCTAACCCCATACAGCTATTACTTTCTATGCACCTCAAACCCGATGTTTGGTAAATGATACTATTTGTAGAAAAATAAATTCCAAGAACATGTAACCCACATTTTGAAGATTCAAACAAATACGTGAAGATACAGGGGAACACAGCTGCTCACGGACAATGACTGTGTGCATACCCCGAGCTGCGCTGGCCCAGAGATCCAGAAGGAATTGGGTGATGGACCATTCACTGGGAGGACCTCCTGCTGTGATTAGAGTGGAAGTTTCTTGCAAAGTCAGGATGAATTTGCTCCTTCCAATTCCAGCAGCATGGTCAGGGATTGGAGGAATTTGCTCATGAATATAATTTTCTGACTCTAAATGAAGTATTTTGTGTCAAAATTGTCCAGTCTACTGGGTAGGACTCACTGGCTGTAGAGAGTTTAGGGTAGTTTTAGGTCGAGAACTCACTCCTGTCTCTACCTGTTGCATGAAAAATGCAAGACAAAGTCCTGTGTTTGTCCTTTTACTGGCTACAAGGGAAACGGAGCCAAAGGTGGAGGTGGGGACAAAGACTGGCAGTGTGGTAGAAGCAGAGGTGACGTCAGCACACGCCTCCCTCACTCTCACTTTGATCTCAAAGAGGCCATAAAGAGACCTTGGGAAGGCCAAGAAGACCTCCATAGTGCAGGGCTGAGGATTGGAGACGCCTGCGTCTAGGTTCCTGGAACTCTAAGAGGGAGGGATACCCAGAAAATTTTCTAGAACCAGGAGAGAAGCTGAGTGACTGCACGCAGCTTAGAGCTGAGCGCAAAACCCCGCCTCCCGGGGCCGCCCAGTGGCGGGCGCAGAATAAACACTCCCGCCGAGTGCACGCTGCACCCGGAGACTGCGCCCGGCTGGAAGCTTTGCGCTCAGCTCAGCCACACCCCCTAGTTTGACAAAGGGCGCGAATTCACTGGTGCTGCAAAGAGGGCGGCGCCGTCGCGCCGGGCCCAGTGCAGACTTGGAAGCTGCCAGCCTTCTTCGGTCCTGATAGGCCATCCAGCAGGGTGTCAGCCTCTTCAAATTGTTGTTTAGGAATTACAGCGCGGCATAAAGTACCTGACAAGGCCCACCTTAGGGTGCACAGTTCCCAGCCGCTGCACTAACCGCCCCTGAGCCAGAGTTGGTCACATCTTGAGTTCTGAACGGGGTGGACTCACTTTGTCCACTGCTTGCTTTCGGGTGGAGCTCCTGAAGGCAGGTCCACCTGGCCTGTCTAGCCTTGTTAAAGTTCAAGGATTGAGGTTCAGAGTTTATATCCTCTCCCTTCTCCCCATCCACCACCATTGAACTGGCCAGGTTCCTGCTGGCTGCACTCAGAGGTTTGTGCAGACCCGGGAGTCCCTAGGTGAATAGAAGCCTAGGAGGTCCCTTTTGGGGAGTGAGGACCTGGGGTCAATGTCCTAAATTGCTATCATCCTGGACTGGCTCTTGCATCTGGGACTTTTTGTGGAATAATACAAGAGTTTGCTTGCCCTCCCTCTATGAGGGAACAGAAGAGTGGCTGTACATTCTGCACAGCCCAGTCAGCTACCGGCCGGCTGAGAGCTGTGGGTGCAAGGTCTGGTCAGGACCTTTGCAGAGTGGGGCCTTAACTACAAAGTGAGCAGGCAGTTCCTAGCTACCTCATGCCTCCCAGAAGCCTAATTTTTTTTTTCCTGGTTCCTTTGGACCTCAAGCCATTTGGGTTGGATATGGACCCCAACTATTCCTGTGCTACTGGTACAGGACTTCAGAGGACACGTTTTCATTCCTGGATAAAGTGGGCTCCTGACTATGCATTGCTAGTTTTCTCTCTCTAAGGAGCCCTTTGCTAGTTTGTGTTCTGCCTGTCTGTCTCTCTGTCTCTGTCTCTGCAGCTTCACCACACTTTGAAGCTTACCAAGTTTCCATTCCTCCTTCCTTCTCTCAAGGTTCTCATTTCAAGGGAGAAATGAGTGGACTCTAGTCTTCCTGTTCATCACCCCACATCTGTACCCATTGTGGCGGGAGCATCCTACTTTCTTTCCCTGTAGGATAAACACCCGAGAAAGACTGTGCTTCCCAGAAGGAGGGTGGAGAGACCCAATGGCATGCTGTGTGTTCCATCTGGACGGGAGGAGCAAGGCTTGGACACGCACAGCTGTCCCCTGGCTTCTGCCTGTGTCTCCAGCTCACTCCTTCTTTCTCTACCCCACAGGCAACTCCTAAGCTGCAAAGCCTGCAGGTGTAGCTCCAGCAGGAACAGCCAGTGGGGCCTGCTTCAGAGATCTGTGGCTGGGGCTGAGCGAGGGAAGCCACAGCTGTTCTGAGTGTGTAACTCAGGGACGTTGGCTGTCCTTTAACCCCTGAAGACCATTCTGCTCCTATTCCAGGATTGTTGCCCTGTCCTTAAGTCCCAAGACCAGACTGCCTGTCTCTCTCCTGGGATGCAAACCCTGACGTTCACATCTGGGCTCTCAGGGCAGATAGAGCCTAGACCTTCATTAGAATGCTTCCTCATAGGAGCATGGTGCTGTGGGCATGCCATTCATATCAGTACTTGGGAGGTAGAGGCAGGAGGATCATGAGTTCAAATCTAAAACAGGCTAGCTATGTCAGAACCTGTTCATAAACAAACAAACGAATACTTCCACGGCGTGAGGCCTAGAAAAGTAAACACTGCTTCACCTCTCCTCTCTAGCCTTCCTCAGGCTGCTGCTTGTACTGCCCAGTGGGGCTCCAAGTGTGCCCCGGGGCGTGGGGGGGGGGGCTGTGTCTGACCAGAGCACCTGCTGTGGCTGGTGTTAGGACAGTGCTGCTCCCACCTGTAAAGAGAGCAACATGTACAGAACTGGATTTGTTTTCCCCCCTACTCTGCCCTGTTGGCTAAATATGATCTTTTCCAGTAAGTGTCTGAATGACAATCAGATTTGATGGCTTCTCTCTGAACTGGTTTTCCGTGTGTGCCTTGGGATGAGTGACTGAGGTGAGAGATTTAACACTAAGGCAGGGGCCTGGGCCCAATTGTTAGACTCCAGCTGTACACTAACAACTCAGGTAGGGCACAATGAGCTCCATCTCTGGCACATAGGAGGGGAGCAGCTGTTGGTGGGGAGGCAGACCTGTTTGTCCTTCTTCATGGAACATGTTCACGGCACAGAGACATCTCCATCTTCTGCTCTCATTCTCAGGCTCTCCGACCGGCCCTGCTTTAGTTCCTAATGAGGGCTTACTTGGAGAGGATTTTGGAGGGGGAAATCCAACTCTCCAGGGTTTTTCCAGTTCTGCTTGGGGTTTCTCAGACTCCACATGGGGAAGAGACTTTGATCTTTCAGAACTAAGACTTGCTAGTAGCTGAAATAATGTTAATTGCAGGCATAATTAAGCCGAAGAGTACAACCCACTGTATTAGGATCAACATGAAAATTTCAAAATCCATGGGAGGGGGTAGGAAAAGTAATGTGCATAAATACTGTACACTTTCTTCTGAATTTAAAGTAGGAGCTTGCTGTGTAGCTCAGGCCTCTACTTCCCTGCAAGAATCCTGCCTCAGGCTCACCAGGTTGAGATTTCAGTCAGGTGTACTATGGTTAGAAAAATGTTCCCTGAGGGTATGCATGGACAGAAGCTGAAGACTTTCCCAGGGTGAGAGCCACCCACTGTGAGCATTGC